GTATGTACATATGATGAAATGTTTTTTTTTTAATATAAAATTCCAAATCCACTTAAATTCCGTTTCCACCTACAACATATATATTAGGATCTAGACGCAAATACGGACATTATGTTTTAATATATGTGCTCAGTACTTGGTGTAAAAATAAAATCGTATCACCAAAAGACTAACATAAAAGAAATTTATGAATGTAATTTAAGGGGCCTGTGTTAATTTACGCATTATCTCACCTACTATTTGTGGTATGTATTGACAGTATGAGCAGACATTTTTACACCCTGCCTTATGTTGTTTATACCATAATTTCCCACGTGATTATACCACGGTCGAGAATTTTTTATGGAAAGATCACGGATACAACAGTCACAGAAAAGGTAGGCATGAACTTCGTAGGGTAATATTCATTTTATTTCCTACGAAATGAAAAAAGAAGTATAGAATTGTCTGATAAACATATGATGCATAAGATCGCATCATATGATCATTGAGAATTTTCAGTGCTTGTTTTCAATCTTCTAGGAAATAACACTAAAATAAACCTCACTACTCATACTTAGAATTATCAACGCACCAGTGATAGCTGACACATGAATTTATAAACATTTCACTTTTATTCACTAATTTTTTTCATTTTGTATGCTTTACTAGTTGAACGGGTGAAATTGCACATAGTAATTGAAGTTGCTCTTTATTAACGTGGGTGTTCAGCATAAACCTTTGCTGCAAAGCTTATTATTTACAGTTAATTCTAAAATTGTAATTTTGATATAGTGAAGCTACGTAATGAGCCCTTTTATGTGTGCAATATAAAAACCATTAGAATATTTCAAGATTTAGAATTTTTGAGAGATTGATATTTACGTGTGCATCTACTCATTCGATATTTTAATGCTTAATTGTTAACTTATATAGAATATATGAATTAGAATATTCTATTATTAAGTTTAAATAATAGCTCTAGCATTTTTAATTTTAATCTTACGGAATTCAATTTCCGATAGTGCCACTTAGTATTAAATGGTAATATCAGAAAATAGAATCTTGCAAGATGAAAATTAAGAATATTACCTAAAGAGATCCATAAGTTACACGTAAGGTAATTTATATAACTTTAATCTTCATTTTTATTGAGATGTATAGATAGTTCTTTGTTAAAAAACTTTAATGTGCTCTTCGATTTTTCACTTTATATCAAGTATTTTTGTTACACAAAAAATTTATTCGTACTGACGATAGAAAACATTACGAAAAAAAAAAAACTTTAATGTGCTCCTTACTCATATCGAATTCTCATTTAATGTCAAATATTTTTGTTGCACAAAAGAAAAAAAATTCGTTATATTAGCGAAAGGAAATATTGCAAAAAAAAAAAAATCTTCTTTGCAATATAAAATACGTAACAATAAAATTTATATAAAAATCAATTTTCCTTTTCACTATTTCCTAATCAATCACTTTAATTAAATTTTTTTTTAAAAAAATAATGCATTGTGGAGCATGTGTTAAAATACTTTGCGAAGCTTGTGCTGAGAAGCCATCTTGCAAAGCTTGCACTCAGAAAGAAGCTAAGAAGAAAGCCCGCTCTAAGACGGTATTTAAGGCTATTAAATTGATTATAAGAACGATTTTTCTTGCGGCATTGCTGAGCGGTTTGTTCGTTCTCTCATCAGAGGTAATTAATGATTTACCGACTGTGAGAAACGAATACGTTCAAATGTCAGAGTTTCCAGCACCGGTGATTTCAATGCAGCTTAGATTAAACTTTACGATTACTTGTGACTTCTTATTGTATGACATCTATGGTATTATCGTTATAATAAACTTTTTATATCGTGCATTTAGTGCTAGAGTTTTGGAACCAGTTTTATTTTTCATATATTGTGTAAAACCGATTAAACCCGATTTTAACATACGGAAAATAACTGATTCCAAACTCTATTCGGTGCATCTTATTGATTTGATACAGTAAATCAAATTTAAATCACATGCGAAGCGAAAAAAAAATCAAGCGCAATGCCGTAATCGGGCGTAATTTTTTTATAAAACTCAATTATATCGTGATCCAGTAATCCAGTTTGGATAGTTTGAACCATTTGATTCGTCTCTCGATGAGACAAATCGAATGATCCAATTCGAATCACTGGTTCACAAGGTTTTCGCAAATAACTTCAATGAATTACGGCAAACGTGCCGTAATTCATTAAATAGGTTTTCGAGAATATTTAACGATCCAGTAGTCCAAAATTGATGCTTTAGGTTACAGGG